CAGTATTCAAATAAACTCATCATAGATACAAGGATTGAAATTTTGTACCCTAGACGCGCTTTTCGTCTACAAAAGACTCACCAGTGACGCTTGAATCATAAAAATTAAAAAGGCCAAATAAAGTACGAAGTTGAAGAGCATTGAATTCTTACTAGTTTTGCCAAATACTGCTAAGGTAATCTATTCCTGGGGTTGAAAATCCTTAATATTTCGAAAAATTCAAAGCTTTGTAAACAGTTAATTTATCAAACAATTCCACTCAGAAAAAGACTCAACATTGACATAATTAAACCCCCATGCCAAGGTTCTGGTGTGACAATGTATACGTCGACAGGGTAAACATAACACCACCCATCCTATAATCGGTTCTGTAACATGTGTAAAAACTTGTTATATGACAAATCCAGTAACTATGTCAGATGATCGACAGTAAAAAGTTAATCACAAAAATACTGAACTCCGAGGAAAATCCAAAACGGAAAGTCCCTAATCAAATGGCAAAATCAGAAGCACAAACACATCAAACGAATGGACAACAACTGTCATATTCCTGACTTCTAACAGGCATTTTCTTATGTAGAAAATGGTGGATTGAACCTGGTTTTTATAGCGCTAAACCTCTCACTTGTATGACAGTCGCACCAAATTCAATTATATTGACAACGATACGTATACGAGATCGAGGACTGATATACCTAAACGCCGTAAACTGCGGTTGATCGTATGTGGCATTTTACTACGTATTCACGAATTTGGAGTTGTACTAGTAATAGGAAATTGTTTTTGTGAAATGTGCTATGCCTAGCTTCGAGAAAAAGATCTAGTTGAAAAGTAGACATTCTTGTTTCAGCAAAATGTTTTACCTTATAGGCTGAATGCTGTGTATGAAATGCAATGAAATTAAAGGACATCTGATGAAGTTAATTGGAGAAATTTTATATGTTTTGGATATGTATTTCTCAACACCAATTGATCGTACGGTAGATTTGATAAAAGTGGATAATCATGAATAATGATGGAAAAGTCTGAGAAGCCACATTCAAGGCTTACACATCTAAGGCAGTAACTTCGAATGATCATAGATAAGGTTTGCAATGAAAGAAGAAATATTTAAGAAGGGGATTACGGCAGATATCAGTATTGTTAGAAGGAAAGAAACAAAAGGAAACTAATAATTAGAAAGTGAACCCGACCAGTATGAACAAGTCTTTCTGTGTTTTCAAGGTCATGGTCAAAGTTTCAAGCATTAAAACATATTGGGTTGCTTACCAATTGATATTGATATTTCCTCCGTAACACAATGCATTGACATTAATTGAGATAGCACGACAACTTTTGTGACAACAGGTTTGATGACGAGTAGCGCGGATATGCAAAGATCAAAATCTCTAGGTGGAAAGGTCGAGAGGTTTTGCCAAATACAGCTGCAACTGCATCTTGTCATGGATGTTTCTTTTAACAATGACGAATCACAGCAGGTTAAGTTTTTAGAGGTTACTTTCAATAACAACAAGCTATTTCTTTCAAACGGTATTATTTATTGTTATTTTGCTGACATAAAAGCTCATCAAAGTAACTTTTTTTGTTTTATTTCCTATTATACCGTAATGATAAAGTTGCGTTGACTTACTGTACTGACTGTGCGATCTTGCATGTTCCTTTTGATATTCCCTTGATTGATTAAGATTAAGAGAGGGTTGATATCTAAAGATAAACGTGATTGGATTCACTAATGCAAATAGTTCTGTGCATAATTTCAAACCATATTTTAGTCTTCCATTGAGGTATGGTGGACAAAAAAAACCCTGATCAATTTGCACTTTTGCATGTAGTTGTATTGCTGCAATTCTTCAGAAAGATATGCTTTTTTTTCTGCAGATAAGATGAGCAAATTGTTTCAGTGTTAGGTCACTGAATCCACATAAAAAGTTATTCTAACTTGTAAAGTTCACAACTTTTAAGTTTTTAGTTTCGATTTATTACAAAGCTATAAAGATCCTCTTTAAATGCATGGAACCTGGGACTAGTATAATAGTCCCAGATGGAACACATTTTTGTGTAAAAAAACTATGTGAAATGTCACATAACATATTGGTTTTAAGGTCATGAAATCATTGATCTTCCAATTTTCCATCGATCAAATAATGAAAATTCGCAACAAGCCTTTAATAAACCAAGATCCAAATAATGACATGCATGTTTTTTTTCCATTTTAGATTAAACTGAAGTGCATATATTTTGATCAGTAATATTGTTTTCCTTAGCCTTTAATGTGTGACCAAAACAAGAATATTTGTCCAAGCTTTATTTGCAAATACCAAAATTCCTTCAACATATTTTTTTTCTTATTTGAAGCAGAATCCCATTTTTCGTCAAATCAAACATGGTATGAATCCGGTTATTTAGAATGGAATATAAAAATATGATTTTAAATTATGCACAAAGCTTTTCCAACGTTTCCATCAGTGATTTCCATTACTTAAATCAGCTTCAAATGGAAATAAAATGCTTCACTGAGCGCAGCTGGATACGACCGCAGAGGTCCAACCCTGAACAGTTGGGGCAAAAATGGACATAATATTCGCGCTTGATACAGGTCTGAATTTGGATTGTAATTAAATATTTGACACATAATAGGTTTCTGACACAGAATAACTGTAGTCAAAGAATTTAGATTTGGTTATATGATTTGAATTTATATTCAATTTTTTGCTTTTGTGCAATACACCATGCTGTTGCGTATTGAACCCCCCTTTATTTTGCAAAAAAAAAAAATATTTGAAGAAATTTTCTTTTTAATTTCTGAAATCTGAAATGAGAAAAAATTGCCCCCCCCCCCCCCCCCCCCCCCCCCCCCCCCAATTTTCCAAAAAAAATTCTTTCCCTAAAGATATTGTCATAATCTCAATTCAAATTTCCAATGCAGTTTGCAACCATAATTACCAATTTAAATACATCATAAAAGTCTTAAAATAGAAAATGACATACATAATCATGGCTAAAATTGATATTCCTTTAATAGTAACTTCTAAAAATTAATTGACAGCTAATCACCTCAAGACAATACAACATCTTTATACATAATTTAAAAGCAATGTAAGGGAGGTAATCCAAATTTAAATGTATTTGGATTACCTCCCTTACACTGCTTTTAAATTGTCCATTAACCAGGAAACCCTTGTTCCCCCCCCCCTTTTTTTTGCCCCTAATTCCTAAATGGTTTGAGCCATAACCCCTCAAAGTCAATCCTAACCGTCCCTTTGTGGTATGGAAACTTGTGGTATAATTTCAGAGAGATTCATACACCGTTCCACCAGTTATTGTCTGGAAACTAGAAAAATGCTTATTTGGGCCCTTTTTTGGCCCCTAATTCCTTAACTGTTGGTACCATAACCCCCAAAATCAATCCCAACCTTCCTTTTGTGGTATTGAATCTTATGGTGAAATTTCGTAGAGATCCATTCACTTAAACTAAAGTTATTGTGCGAAAACCAATGTGTCTTCGGACAACGACGATGACAACACCAACGTCATACCAATATACGACCCCAAAAATTTTTTGCTGTCGTATAAAAAGAGGTGGGAATAACCAAGGGGACATTTGAATTTCAAGTCAAGAGAAATAAAATGCTCTGCTAGACGCAGCTTGATATGACCGCAGAGGTCAAACCCAGAACAGTTGGGGCAAGTATGGACACAACATTCAAGCTTGATACAGCACTGAATTTGGATTGTGATTAAATATTTGACACAGCATAGGTTTCTGACACAGAATGAATGTGGTTTAAGAACTTAAAATTTTTTAATTTTCCTATTCAAACCATATCATTATTATTTGCTTTTATATATAGATCAGATATAACCAATTTAAAAAGAAAAAAAAATCCCTCCCCCAAATTTTTTGAACCCCGTATGATAAATCACCCCCAAACTCAATCCCAGCCTTCCCTTTGTGGTATGGTACCTCGCAGTACAATTTCAGAGAGATCCATACACGTGAACACAAGTTATTGTCTGGAAACTAGAAAAATGCTTGTTTTTAGGCCCCTTTTTGGCCCCATATTCCTAAACATTTAGGGCAATTACCCCCAAACTCAAACCCAGCTTTCCCTTTGTGATATGGAACCTTGTAGTACAATTTCATAAAGATCCATACACTTACACACAAGTTATTATCCTGAAACTAGAAAAATGCTTGTTTTTTGCCCCTCTTTGGCCCCTTATTCCTAAATTTTGAGGCAATTACCCCCAAAATCAATCCCAGCCTTCCCTTTGTAGTATGGTACCTTGCAGTACAATTTCAGAGAGATCCATACACTTGAACACAAGTTATTGTCTGGAAACTAGAAAAATGCTTATTTTTGGCCCCTTTTTGGCCCCTTATTCCTAAACATTTGGGCAATTACCCCCAAACTCAATTCCAGCTTTCCCTTTGTGATATGGAACCTTGTAGTACAATTTCAGAAAGATCCATACACTTACACCCAAGTTATTATCATGAAACTAGAAAAATGCTTGTTTTTTGGCCCTTTTTTGGCCCCTTATTCCTAAAGTTTTGAATCAATTACCCCCAAAACTAATCCCAGCCTTCCCTTTGTGATATGGAACCTTGTGGTACAATGTCAGAGAGATCCATACACTAACACACAAGTTATGTCTGGAAGGTACAAAAATGCTTATTTTTGGCCCCTAATTCCTTAACTGTTGGTACCATAACCCCAAAATCAATCTTAACCTTCCTTTTGTGGTATTGAACCTTATGTTAAAATTTCATAGAGATCCATTCACTTAAACTAAAGTTAAAGTGCGAAAACCAATGTGTCTTCGGACAACGACGACGATGCCAACGTCATACCAATCTACAACCGCAAATTTTTTTGCGGTGGTATAAAAACACCATAGCAATGAAATGTTACTTTTTGTAAATCACCCTATGAAATAAATCACTCCATTTATATAGAATAGACATGATACCCAACATTTCTTATTTTGTTTTTTAGGAAACAATGGCCAGTTGTGTATTAGAAAGACATATTTACAAAGCTTGGGGTTCCTTAATAGACCACCATCTTGGAAAGAAAATGAGGCATCATCTGACAGAGCTTCTCCACAATGTTACGGCTGTTGATAATGCAATAAAACCTTCTTTTCTGTTAGATTTTGGGATAAAGGCTTCATCCTTGCATCATTTTGTAGAGGATTTGAAGAGGACTGGTTGTGTCAAGACAATACTGAATATTTACCAGATGGGAACAGACCTGATGGTCATCAATCCAAGATGTATTCATTTATTACAACAGTGCTCCAACTTGGAATCATTGTACTATCTAACAGACGTTTCATCAGGCCTTGAAAAGCCACAGTCAATTAAACAGAAACTTTTATTTGAAGAATTATCACAATCTATAAATCTACTGCCATTTAGCTTGGATAATATAGCCATATTTGATCTAGATGTAACAAATATGAATCTGACAACTATGTTTGGGATACTTCTAGGTTATCCCTTTACATATTGGTTTGAAAAAGAAACCGAAGATAACTGCCTCTCTATGATACCATTAAGATGTTTAAAAGTTACAAGAACAATACATATACAGAAAGAAAATGAAACACAATTGAATTCCACTGAAAGTTTCAATGTCTTCTCTTTCAGTGTACCAGAAGAATTATTTGATCACACTGCTGAAGATCATCTAAATCAGTGGTTTTCTCAAAAGAAAAAGAAAGACTCAAGTTTACAGCTGTCATCTAAAACAGAGATATTACCTAAAGTGGCAATGTAAATTATTTCAATACAAACTTAGACAACTTTAAATCAAGCAGAAATTTGCAATTCATTGGGGAAGCATAAATCTTTTTATGTTGGAGGATTAAATTTTTGTGCCATGTTTCAGATGTCTTCCAAATATTTCTCGTAAAGAAATCAAAATGTCCGTTGGAATGGTTACAACAGTAACTAATCACCTTTATCATATTAAGTTCAACAGACTTCTGTCAAAAGTTAGCTTCAAATACATTGCATTATTTGGTTGTTTATTTCTAATATTACAATCAGTAAACCATGTTGAAATCAAGATAAAAAATGATAGACATGTTCTAAGAACACAATGTAATTATAATATTTTTATTTTTAAAAGTTTAAACAGAGCCTATAAAAGGATGAGTCAGTAAAAAAAATTGAGACAAACAAAGCTTAATTTGGAAACTAAGAAATTAATAATTAAATACTGGATGATTGGAAATTCTTAAATACAACATATCCAATATCTACTTTAGCAAGGGGGTCGTTGTTCATTAATAAACTGTTATCACAGAGATATGTCTCGCCTTTTTGTAATTTTGATAATGCAAATGTTGAAATTAAAATAGCAATACTTTAACATGTAAGTTATGCAAATATTCAAAGTCGATGAATCATGACTGAAGGTACATGGCTAAACAATCTCCATGGAATGAGATGTGCCAATGCTAATACAACTGCATACCAAATACCATTGACTTATTATAAGTCATTCCCTTTAAACAAACCTAAACACAAACATTAACTTGTAAACTATGTAAAAGTTTCAAAGTCAACGAACCATGATCAGGGGTGGGGCTATATAATCTCCATGGAAACGATACTTGCAAATACCAATAAATTTGCATACCAAATATCATTGACTTAACATTAGCAGTTCATCTTAAACTGATCTAATCACAAACTAATACATGTAAACTGAGCAAAAGTTTCAAAGTAAATAGACCATGACTGAGGGGGCGGGGCCAAATATTCTCCATGGAAATGAGATGCACTAATGCTTATACAACTGAACACCAATTAACATTGGCCTACCACTAATGGTTCCCCTTGAACTGACCTAATCACAAACTAATACATGTTAACTTAGCAAAATTTTCAAAGTCTATAGACCATGACTAAAGGGGCAGAGCCAAATAATCTCCATGGAAATGAGATATGCCAATGCTTATACAACTGCATACCAAATATCATTGACCTACCACTAGTGGTTCCCCATAAATTGACCTAATCACAAACTAATACATGTAAACTATGAAAAGTTTCAAAGTCAATAGATCTTGACTGAGGGGTGGGGCCAAATAATCTCCATGGTAATGAGATGTGCCAATGCTAATACAACTGCATACCAAATATCATTGACCTACCACTAGTGATTCACAATGAACTAGACCTAATCACAAACTAATACATTGTTGACGCCGCCGCCGCAGATGCCGGAAACAGCATACCTATGTCTCGCTTTTCGACTCTGTCAAGGCGAGACAAAAATCACAGAAGAATCAGTTTACTTGATGCAAATCACTGCAAAGAAGCAAGACTGTTGGATAGATGTATAATGCTCAAGTGAGGTATTTGCAAAACAAATATCTGTCTTGACATTTTTAAATTTTTTGAGCTGCAAGCTTCTCTAGACTGGCATTAATCATAATACCCATCCTTAATATGATATATCTTTTTAATTACACAGAATATCGTAATAGATTGTTAACCATTGAAATCAAATTGCATTATTTTTTCAACAAGCATACATGACTTTAAATTACACAGAATATCAAAAGTAAATTGTTAAGTTAACCATTGAAATCAAATTGCATTATTTTTTCCACGAGCATACATGACTATCAGTATTAAGACTCTACCAAATTAACCACATTCAATGCTATGCACAATTGATTAAGCGTTTCTGTAAAGGGTAACGAAAAATATCTTTGCAAAGAGGGTAAAAAAGAGAAATCCTTGTGCAAATACTCTGCAGTGGTGAATATTCATCTAATGTAAGAAATAATACCAGCTATTAGCTAGTTTAACTCCAGGATACTTATACAACACGTTGTTATGAAAACTACTGGAATGTTCATGACAGGTTCATATCGTTATATCAGTACAATGTTTTGCTACTGTGAGTGTAAGCTTAAAGAAGAGATTTGTAGTATATATCAGTTGTTTATTTAAAAAATCAATATTTGATATTTTATTAAGAATACCAAAACCTTACATGTGTGCATGCAATAAATTGTTCTACATAAATATACAAAATGCACAATTTATCATTGAAGATTGAAGTTATATGACAACTAATAAGCACTAAATAAGACTCGTCTGACAAACCTTATCATGAGTTAATCTATTCAAAGAAAAATGTGTTGGTACGAAACAAAATGAATAATGATATACAAAAGAAAAAAAATGCATTTCAGTTTTCACAACACACGTCTGGAATAACCTTAAGTAGGTTTGTGGGAGACCTAAAATTTGGAAATAAAAATAAATAACCTTTCTGAGCATGAAAACCAAGTAGGGTTACAGGTAAAATGAACAACCAAAACCACTAGAAAACTTTGTCAGATGAGTTGCATCCTTAGTTTTTAGAACATACTAAAATTTAATCATTTTAATTATTCCAGTACAATAGCACTAGCTACTTTTATACAGGATAACTTTGTAGTGGACACCAAATTCTACTGTTCTTTAAACAGATGTTATGTGGTATCAATGATCAGATTACTTGCACAGTAAAATTTTTTTCTAAATGTTTGTTTCTCAATGCATTGACACTCATTTTCTGATTTCTAGTGAAAAAAACAACAACAAAGAATATACAGCAAAATAAATGACAATATGAGTAATATTAGGGCTATTCCATTAAAATGTATGTGGGAGGGTAGGAAAGGAAGTTTAATTATTGAATGTGGGTCATGGGTCTTTTTTCAGTATGCGTCTACATGTATTACCATTATGCAAAATTATCTAAAAAATGGTTCTTGGTTGTAGGGATATTTTGAAAGTCCCTTCCCACCCTCCCACATACATTTTAATAGAATGGCCCTTATCAATACACATGTCTGAAGTATATTGAAAGGACTTTGAAATGGTTATACACTGCCAGTAATAGTCTGTATTGTATTGAAAACTGTTAAGACAATTAGTACTACTTATTTCCAAAATTCAGCTGAGCACAAACTGATTACAATGTTGTAAAATTCTGTTTTTTGTTAACAACCGTTAACACTAGTTATACTTTTATGGCACAAAAATATGAAACCACACCAAATTCGTTTGTTGTTCTTTAAATTTTCAGTCTACAAAAAATAGTACGGATGATAACTTATCATTTTTGGAAACAATTTTTAACTACATTTTAAAATTTAAAAAAAAGGAAAATATGAACTAAGATAAAGGTATATTCACAGCTTGATGCAAGAATGAAAAACAATTTTGTGTAACATAAAGGTTGAAAATCTCTTCAGGTCCATTATACACTTGCCATATCCTTGGCTATTCAGGAACCTTTATTACAAATAAATACTTGTGGAATACTCAATAGAAAATCAATTTGTATGCATTTTCTCTGAAAAACTAACATAAACGTTAACAAAACAGTAAAACAAAAATCATACACAAATCTTCACTTAGTATAGCTACAGAAAGGTCAATTTGTAGTTCTGAACTCTCTCATAAACACGATGATGTGATAATGGTGTGGTTTTACCTGAAACATAAACAGAAAGAACGGTAAAAGTGACGCTACCGAAATTTGAACTTGATCTGAGTTTTGTGGTAATAAGCATTGTGTGTAAGTTTCATAACATTTGGTTGAGGCTAATTTAAGTAGAGAACAGAAACTAAAAATTCAGCAATTTTTCTATTTGTAAATACGCATAACTCTAGAACGGTTGTGTATGATTTTTATAACATTTGGTTGAGACAAACTAAAGTTAGAGAACGGAAATGAAAAATTCAGCAATTTTTATGTTTATAAAGGGACATAACTCAAGAATGGTAAAAGTATCGCCACCAAATTTCGTACTTAATCTGTATTATGTAGTAATAAGCATTGTGTATAAGTTTCATAACATTTGGTTGAGGCAAACTAAAGTTAGAAAGCGGAATTAAAAAAATGTACTTGATCTTAGTTTTGTGGTAATAAATATTGTGTATAGGTTTCATAATGTTTGGTTGGGGCAAACTTAAGTTACAGAATGGAAACTAAAAATTTTGCAATCTTTCGATTTATAAAGGGGCATAACTCAATAATGGTTAAAGTGACACTACCCAAATTCAACTTGATCTGTGTTTTATCAGTGGAAGTCAAAATTAAACATTGCATTGTATAAAGCATTGATTGTAGTTAATTCAACTATAATCATGGACAAAGGAAGATAACTCCAATTTTAAAAATTACTTGATATTTAGAAGAAAATAAAAATTTTGCAATTTGTCAATTTATAAAGGGGCATAACTCTAGAACGGTTAAAGTGATGCCACCAAAATTCAAACTTGATCTGTGTTTTGTGGTTATAGGTTGCACTTTGTAAATACAGCTGTTTCTCAAACCACGCCTCTTTTGGGGAGATATAGAATATTCATAGATAATTAATTTTGTTTACATACTGGTTCCCAGTTATGCTCTCTAGGTTTCATCTCATAGAGCCATAACTTGGGAATGTTACCAGTAAATATACATATGCATATTGTCTATATAGAAATCTGTGGTAATCCTACAGTCAAGGTAGGGATAGTTAAGAAATTTAGTGTTAGTTTAAACTCTTAGAAGTTCGGGGCATATAAATGTTGAAAATATGCCGCACAGCCCTATATTTTGACCTTTGAAAAAAATTGTAGTGCATATGAACTTTCCATTCTAGGATATGATATTTTTTAAAACTTCATAGTAAAAGTGGTACAGTTTAGCCGTAAAAGGAGTTTCTATGGGAAATTGCATAGTCAATATTTACAGAAATGCAACCTATAAGTATTGTGTATAAGTTTCATAACTTTTGGTTAAGGCAAACTGAAGTTAGAGAACGGAAACCAATTTTGAGATGTACGTACGTACAGACAGACAAGGGTAAAACATAATGCCCCCACCGCTAAGGCGGGGGCATAAAAAATAAATTGCAAGGTAGACAAATAAATATATGATACTTATTGCAAGAATAAGATACAAAGATTACTTTACTAGACACATTGCTGTTTTAAAATATATGTTATGTTATAGTTTTCATTAAAATCTGGGTGTTAAATCAAAAGACATGCATTTTGAGATACCTTTTCACACACTTTTGAGCTGGCAAGTTGTAAGGCAAAAGTTCTGACCCTATTTATTATAAGCTTGACTTTCAGTCACGGTTAAATTCTCTATTCATTCAATTGACGGATCTTTCCAATAGGACCTATTATTTATCTTTAAATCATCACGAATTTGAATGAAATATTTGCAACGAGACATAAAGCAACCATTAATCAATCATATGGTGTAATACAAATTTTAATCATCAAATCAGGACTTTCTGAGAAAACATTTTTACTGGGGACAAAATAACTAATTGATGTCTTAAAATAAAAAAATAAAAAAACCTGGTTTTAACTACTTTAGTCAAGTATTCAATATCAAGCCAATTTATCTATAAGATGTTTAACCTAAAAAAATCTCTTGATAAAGGGGTACAACTCTTTATTATTTAATTAAAATTTCATGTGTTCACCCTGTTCCTTTCAAACATTTAACATTTCAACTGCATGTAGAATCAAATCAGTTTCAGACTTAAGGGAATTTTATTCTTGGTATAGCTGTAAAGTTTTTATTTTATTTTTTTTTTTTAATTTATATAGTTTTGTTTTTACAGGTCATTGTAATTAAATATTTGAAATGTATAAATAAAGGTCACGTTTCATGTTCAAATTTTACATAAAGTAATTTTTGCAAGTTAAAATAAATCGCCATGCTTTAATTTTAATTATGTATTCCTTTCATTAAATTTGTCAGTTAAATTTAGCATTTGACTTCTTGAATTCATTAGTTCAACATGAACTTTACTTAAAAAAGTTGGGACTAGTTTTAAATTTACTATCTATGCAGGACCCAAATTAATATTTAATGCTCCGACATAATTTTCACTGACAAATCGATATATTTACACATTTGATATAAAAAGAATCCAGAAATATTCATGGTACATTCGGTCCAGTAAAAACATCCTTTTATTGGTCCTTAGCAACCATTTTACTGGTTTCAACAGTTTTAAAAAAAAATGAATATTTCTGGTCTTAATGATGTAAACTAAGTATGTGGTATTTGCTTTTTTTTTTCGCAATTAAAAAATATCTTTTGTTATAAATCAATAAACTTTGCCAATGCTTTATATTAAACTTACAATGTTAAATTACTCTGGTGGTGGTTGACCAAACTTTCCAGCCATTTTGTTGATTAGTGTCTGTACCTTAGGATTATTTTGATATTTAGAAATATTAGCTGGATTAGTACTGATGTCTTGAAATGCTGCAGACACTTCAGGATCCTGAAATGAAAATACAATAAAAATATAAGGAAAGCAATGTGAGAGGCAAAGATAATTCATCATGTGCTTTTTTTGGTATACAAAGGATAAAAATCAATAAAGCCTTTTGTAGTAGATATTATAAATAACAATAGATAGGTCAAGAGGAAAGCCTATTTGTTTGATGAGATCACTCCTTAATAGAAATAGATCAAAATTATCATTGTCATTATGTCTAACTGTCAGTTTATTATTTTTGTTAATTTTTGCTGAAAACTTGTGTTCTTATATGTGTTATACTATGCATAAAGAAATCATTAAATAAATGATACAATATACAGATTTTTGAATAACTAATTTTCTCATCTCTGGTAGGTTTTATTTCAAACACAAACATAAATCATAACAAAATTTTCACTATGTAATTTAAACTAAAAAATAGTTTAACCCAAGCCATTATCACAATCAACTGTCACCAAAATTTCTCTATTTTTTATTTCAATGTTTGAAATACAGGCTTTTGATACATTTATTCTAATCCTTATTTTACTGTCAATAGATTTGTTCAAAACACTGACCACTGAATAGTTGACATAGAGTATTGAAACCATTCTTGTCGTATATTTAGACCCATAATTACATCCTTTTGAAAACTGATTATGCACTGATCAGAGGATGGAATAAGACATGTTTAAAAAAAAGTTCCAATTCACATTTTCAAAGTAAAATTAAAAACTAGATACCTGAAGGATGATTGTGGTAAAGTTTGGTTCTAATAAGCCCAGTAGTTTTAGAGAAGATTTGTCTAAAAGTTTATGAACAACTGACAACAGATGTCAAGTATGACAAAAACTCACATGGCCTTTTTTTTCAAAAATAAACAAATTACAAAATAAAAGAAGAATGTGTCTCAGGATACGAATGCCCCTACTCGAGCTTTGCAATTATCCAAGTTAAAAAGGGGCATAACCCTAGAACGGTTCATGACACACTGTCAAAATTCGAATTGAACACTGTCTGCCTGTTGTGGTTCTTAGCATTGTGTATTAGTTTCATAAAATTTGAATGAGTTAAACTTAAGAAAGAGTGCTGAAATGAAAAAATTTGCAATTTTCCAAGTTATAAAGGGACATAACTATAGAATGGTAAGTGACTCACTGCCAAAATTCAAACTCTGTCTGCAAGTTTTGGTTCTTAACTTTGTGTATGAGTTTCATAAAATTTTAATGAGAAAAACTTGTTAAAGTGCGGAATCAAAATTGGACGGATGGTCAAGGGTAACACTTAATGGCCCCATTGACTACGGTGGGGGCTTAAAAAAAAGTTAGCTAAAGAATTAAGAGATGGCAAGGTAGATATGCACTGTCATAAATTATTCTACAAGAGGATAAGTGTCAATAAAATGCTCCGCTGGGGCGCAGCTTGATACGACCGCAGAGGTCGAACCCTGAAAAGTTGGGGCAAGTATGGACACAACATTCAAGCTTGATACAGCACTGAATTTAGATTGTAATTAAATATTTGACACAGCATAGGTTTCTGACACAGAATGAAACTGGTCTAAGAACTTAAAATTTTTTTATTTACCTATTCAAACCATATCATTATTATTTGCTTTTATATATAAATCAGAAATAACCAATTTAAAATGGAAAATTATAAAGAAAAAAAAGGAAAAAAAAATCCCCCCCCCCCAATTTTTTAAACCCCCTTATGATTCATCACCCCCAAACTCAATCCCAGCCTTCCCTTTGTGGTATGGTACCTTGCAGTACAATTTCAGAGAGATCCATACACTTGAACACAAGTTATTGTCTGGAAACTAGAAAAATGCTTGTTATTTGGCCCCTTTTTGGCCCCAAATTCAGAAACGTTTATGGCAATTACCCCCAAACTCAAACCCTGCTTTCCCTTTGTGATATGGAACCTTGCAGTACAATTTCATAAAGATCCATACACTTACGCACAAGTTATTGTCCAGAAACTAGAAAAATGCTTGTTTTTTTGCCCTTTTATGGCCCCTAATTCCTTAAAATTTTGAGGGAATTACCCCCAAAATCAATCCCAGCCTTCCCTTTGTGGTATGGTACCTTGCAGTACAATTTCAGAGAGATCCATACACTTGAACACAAGTTATTGTCTGGAAACTAGAAAAATGCTTATTTTTGGCCCCTTCTTCCTAAGCTTTTTGGTCAATTACCCCCAAACTCAATTCCAGCTTTCCCTTTGTGATATGGAACCTTGTGATACAATGTCAGAGAGATCCATACACTTACACACAAGTTATTGTCATGAAACTAGAAAAATGCTTGTTTTTTGCCCCTTTTTGGCCCCTAATTCCTAAAATTTTGAGGCAATTACCCCCAAAATCAATCCCAGCATTCCCTTTGTGATATGGAACCTTGTGGTACAATGTCAGAGAGATCAATACACTTACACCCAAGTTATGTCTGGAAGTTACAAAAATGCTTATTTTTGGCCCCTTTTTGGCCCCTAATTCCTTAACTGTTGGTACCATAACCCCCAAAATCAATCCCCACCTTCCTTTTGTGGTATTGAACCTTATGGTAAAATTTCATTGAGATCCATTCACTTAAACTAAAGTTAGAGTGTGAAAACTAATGTGTCTTCGGACAACGACGACGAAGCCAACGTCATACCAATATAGGACCACAAAAATTTTTTTGCAGTCGTATAAAAAGTTACATGAACCTAGAGAATTTAATTAGGGAAATTAATTATCCTACATACAAATTTGGGAAAATAGTGGCATCAGAAAAGCAGCAACAGCAATTTTGTTAACTGTGCAAAATAAATCTTGTGAACTTGATATTGGTGACTGACGGTGTGATCCCTAATACCTTCTACCATCTTTGGTCAACCAATCCCTAATAAAATGTTCTAACCTGGAATGCAGAAAGAATTTCTGGATCACTGAGTAGCTTGGATAAATCTGGCATTCCACCACCCCCTGCTCCTGCTCCTGGCATACCTCCTCCCATTCCTCCAGGCATACCTCCTCCCATTCCACCAGGCATACCTCCTCCCATGCCTCCCATTCCTCCAGGCATGCCACCCATTCCACCAGGCATGCCTCCCATTCCTCCGGGCATACCTCCCATTCCCCCAGGCATACCTCCTGAAAAGACAATATGGTAAAGTTAAGGCAACTGGTAATTAAATACTTACATAAAACCATCACATTTAAAGAAATCAATTATAGCTTAGCTTTGTATATATTAGTGAGCTTTAAACAGACTATTCTGTGAAACTTGTCATTAAATATGTAAATATAATTGCTATTTTATTCTAAGGATATTCTTTGTGGTCCTGATTTATTGTTTAATGAGAACATGTAGCTGCTAAAATAGATGTTTTCATAAATCGTCCATAAAATCCAAAGCAAGAGCAACCATGTCAATCCCCTGCAATTCCACACCAAAACTACTCTGAATAAAATTTATAATTTCTCAGGTTTCAGTGCATTCTATACTCACCAGGAAATCCCCCTGGGAAACCACCTGGGAATCCCCCAGGAAATCCTCCTGATGATCCAGTGCTGCTTTCCTGAAAAAAAAAGATTGAGCAATAAAGTGCTATCCATGCTAGATATATTAAATAAGATATATGTCTTTGCTAGAATAAAAGTTTATGGTTCATCCTATAAAAATATCAGATTAAATTTTTTTAAAACTATTGCAACCATAATTATGACCCATAATACAAAATTTTCATTTTACTTAAAACTCTTTCATTATTGTAAGGAACATGAAACCACCCACAATTTATAATTACTTAATAGAATGTCTTCCATCCCCAATACCTCAATCAATTTTGGAACAGAACCTTAACAATGATTTAGTTTCTTTTTCAAATTTTCTCCATTGATAACCTAACATATACCTACCTGTCTTTGTTTTTCATAATCTTCTTTTGCTTTCCTGATTCTTTCTTTTCTGGCATTTAATTCTTTTTCCTGCTTCTTTCTTTCATATTTCCTCTTGTGTTCCATAATTTTCTTTGCCTACAGATCATAAAGGTGAATTTTACATGAATTTTAATGAAATCTTTTCCTTTTTAAACTTTTTACCATATAACTACTTTGTATATTTTTACATTTAAGCTTATCTTTAAATTATTATTGACATAAGACAAAGATGTGTAAATGGACTTCTTTGAATTCAACATCTGTTTCATTCTAAATATGAACTTCTCCATTATTTTCCATCTTCTTGACTACATTCAAAAGCTCTGAAACTTCTTTAACACATAAAATCAATAAAACTTTGGTTAAGATGGAATAAATCAACTAAACAACAATTCTTAAATGAAATTATTATGGTCATTGTTCAATTTAATATTAAAAAATATAAAAATGTTAAACCCACAGAAGATACCTACATGTAGATGCCTTTTACTCCTTTGTAGAAGGAAAAACATGAGAGATATAAAATAAATCTGCTGATATATGATGTGCCTACTCTTAAGTTAAACACTACATATGAATAACGGCCTTATATCCGGTTGCCCTGTTTATATTTTGATGCTTGTAATCAATGCCATCTTGCCCTGAATAAATGTTCTCATCATATAAAAGTTTATATGTTTAACTTTGATAGTAATTTACATTAAATAACAGGTGTCAAAACATACATTAGGTGTAACATCATGTAGCAACTCATTTGCAGTGTCATCATAATCCAGTTTACAGGCTATTGTAAGATCATGGTAGGCATCCTCCCACTGTCCTAGTTTTCTAAAAATAAAAATATAGTGGTTAAGTGAAATGTTTGTTATTTATAATTCAAACAATTATAGTCTTCTAGTCTGACGGGTTGACATTTACATCCTTTTATAAATATTAACCAATTTATTTATACTCTCATAAGTGTATAGTTGCCATCTTTTCTTGAGGACAAAATAAAGTATTCAAAAAGGACTATCATCTCAATCTTATATATTACCCTCATTTTCTGGGATGGTTCTTAAACAGAGTTTGCTTTTAAATATTGTTTCTGTTAAGACTATCAGCACAATTTCTGCCTATTTTAACAAGGAAACCTGAAGTACGTATCTTATTCTCAATAGTTCATTATGTCTATAAATTGGTTTTGAGGGCAATGTACTGTTTAAAATTCCCATTCCAATTGTATCCACGTCAAGGTAACACTTACCGTTTTGCCATTCCTCTCCATTTGTATCCCTGAGCAGAATCTGGATTCAGTTCAATGGCTTTATCACAATCATGTATGGCTTTCTTTAATTTCTTCAATTTGATAAATGCACTGTTAAAAGAGACAACATTAAGAATATTAGATATGAAGTTCGTCTGATAAAGCATATTACTTAGGTTACTAGTAAATTTAAGGGCGGTATATTATATGACAGTAATTTCAACCATTACAGACAATAAGCTGTTTGGTATTTCAATAATAAACAAGCACAATAGGATAAATATATAATTTGATTTTCTCTGGTTTTGTAATTAAATTTTCCAAATGCATTTCCATATGGAGGCAGATTGACATCTGTCAACTTTCTAGCTTTCAAAATGGTTGATACAATTAATTATATATTAACAAAACAAAACAAACAAGTGACACTGCTAGCTACTGCTCACTAATGATACCCCTGCCCAAATATGCATTTGGAATATTTAAATAGTTATTGTAAAATGATGTAAGTGTCCGGTAAACAGGAAGTTGTTGAGTGATGAATCTGAAAACGCATCACATGGTATAGCTGACTCATATAAACCCTGAAACAAAATTTCAGAAATCCTTGTAATGTAGTTCCTTAGAAAAATGTGACGAAAATTTTCAACTTAGATGTCATGTGTAAAATGATGTAAGTGTTCGGAAACAGGAAGTTGTTGAGTGATGAATCTGAAAACGCATCACACGGTATAGCTGACTTATATAAACCCTGAATACAAATTTCAGAAATCCTTATGATGTAGTTCCTGAGAAAGATGCGCCGAAAAATATTCATGGGACGGACTGACAGATAGAGGTAAAACAGTATACCCCCACTTTTTTAAAGCGGGATATAATTATCAATAGACACGCTGGAAAGATCTTTCAAAGCCCTGATTTTATAAAAATAAATGTGGATTGTGTCCACACATGGACATAGATGATGCCCCCCCCTTGCATATTATATAGTTATAAAGGGACATAACTGAAGAACGGTAAAAGTGACGCTACCCAAATTATAACTTGATCTGAGTTTTATGGTAATAAGCATTTAATCCCGCTGCAAATGTTTGCACCTGTCCTAAGTCAGGAATCTGATTACAGTAGTTGTCGTCTGTTTATGTAGTTCATACGTGTTTCTCGTTTTTATATAGATTAGACCGTTGGTTTTTCCGTTTGAATGGTTTTACACTAGTAATTTTTTGGGGGACCTTTATAGCTTGCTGTTCAGTGAGCCAATGCTGCGTGTAGAAGGCCATACCTTGACCTATAATGGTTTACTTTTATAAATTGTAACTTGGATCGAGAGTTGTCTCATTGGCACTCATACCACATCTTCCTATATCTATTGTGTGTAAGTCTCATAATATTTGGTTGAGGCAAACTTAAATTAGAGAACGGAAACTAAAAAATTTGCAATTTTTCCATTTATAAAGGGGCATTACTCTAGAACCACTTAAGTGGCACATTCAAAATTGATCTGTGTTTAATGGTAACTAGATATCATTGAGATGGGAGCCATCTCTGTGGGCCCCGCAGTGAATAATGTGTGGTAAAAAAATTTGTATCTTTATCATTAGACATGGGGTTGTCAACTGAAACCAAAGTTTATGACCTTGACCTTTGACCTTGGAAGTTGTACAACATGGGGTTGTCAACTAAAACCAGTTTTTGACCATGACCTTTGACCTAGGAAGTTGTACATACATTATGACACACCCTCTGGTGTTGGTTTATATACATGTCAAGTATAAACTTTGAAATCATAACGGTTCTCAAGATATAGAGCGAACACAATCTTTACCATAGGACATGGGGTTGTCAACTAAAACCAAAGTTTTTGACCTTGACCTTTGACCTAAGAAGTTGTACATACATTATGACACACCCTCTGGTGTTGGTTAATATACATGTCAAGTATAAACTTTGAAATCATAACGGTTCTCTAGATATAGAGCGGACACAATTTGTTACGGACGGACAGATAGACTGATCACTAAAGGGCTTCCGCCATTCGGCGGGGCCCTAATAAGCATTGTGTATAAGTTTCATAACATTTGGTTGAGGCAAACTTAAGTTAGAGAATGGAAACTAAATATTTTGCAATTTTTCCATTTATAAAGGGCATAACTCACGAACGGTTAAAGTGACACCACCAAAATTCAAACTTGATCTGTGTTTTGTGGTAATAAGCATTGTGTATAAGTTTCATAACATTTGGTTGAGGCAAGCTCAAATAGAGAACGGAAACCAATTTTGGGACATACGTACGGACGGACGGACGTACGTACATACAGACAGAAAGGGTAAAACTAAATGCCCACTCCGCGACAGCGGGGGCATAAAAAAAATTGAACATTTATAAATTACAACTGTTGACTTGAAGGACAACATACCTCCCTCTCTTTGCATACAATAAAGCAGACATTGGATTGACCTTGATGGACAACATACCTTCCTCTCTTTGCATACAATAAAGCAGACATTGGATTGACCTTGATGGACAACTTACCTCCTTCTCTTTGCATACAATAAAGCAGACATTGGGTTGACCTTGAAGGACAACATACCTTCCTCTCTTTGCATACAATAAAGCAGACATTGGATTGACCTTGATGGACAACATACCTCCCTCTCTTTGCATACAATAAAGCAGACATTGGATTGACCTTGATGGACAACATACCTTCCTCTCTTTGCATACAATAAAGCAGACATTGGATTGACCTTGATGGACAACATACCTTCCTCTCTTTGCATACAATAAAGCAGACATTGGATTGACCTTGAAGGACAACATACCTCCCTCTCTTTGCATACAATAAAGCTGACATTGGATTGACCTTGATGGCCTCTGTAAACACTTTCACAGCTTCTTCTAAGTTTCCTGTAATAAAGACATCATAACATAACATAACAAATAAATTCTAACAAGTGATTAATGCAAGAAATAAAGACATTGTATTACCTTATATATTTCCAAAATATTGTATTACACATTCGTACTGGAAAGGATGAGATTTTAATGCAGAGCACAATGAATAAAATGCTTCGCTGGGCGCAGCTTGATACGACCGCAGAGGTCGAACCCTGAACAGTTGGGGCAAGTATGGACACAAGATTCAAGCTTGATAGAGCACTGAATATGGATTGTGATAAAATATTTGACACAGCATAAGTTTCTGACACAGAATGAATGTGGTCCAAGAACTTAATAATTTTTAATTTACCTATTATGGTCCAATATCCAAAATCTAAATACATACACGGTTAGATTCAGCATATCAAAGAACCCCAAGAATTCAATTTTTGTTAAAATCAAACTAACTTTAATTTTGGACCATTTGGACCTTAATGTAGACCAATTTGAAGACGGGACCAAAAATTAAGAATCTAAATACGCGTTTAGATTCAGCATATGAAGAACCCCAATATTTCAATTTTTTATGAAATCAAACCATATCATTATTATTTGCTTTTATATATAAATAAAAAATAACCAACTTAAAATGGAAAATTTTTAAGGAAAAAAAAAAGGAAAAAAAATCCCCCCCCCCCAATTTTTTGAACCCCCTTATGATTCATCACCCCCAAACTCAATCCCAGCCTTCCCTTTGTGGTATGGTACCTTGCAGTACAATTTCAGAGAGATCCATACACTTACACACAAGTTATTGTCTGGAAACTAGAAACATGCTTATTTTTGGCCCCAAATTCCTAAACGTTTAGGGCAATTACCCTAAACTCAAACCCAGCTTTCCCTTTGTGATATGGAACCTTGTAGTACAATTTCATAAAGATCCATACACTTGTCACACAAGTTATTGTCATGAAACTAGAAAAATGCTTGTTTTTGCCCCTTTTTGGCCCCTAATTCCTAAAATTTTGAGGCAATTACCCCCAAAATCAATCCCAGCCTTCCCTTTGTGGTATGGTACCTTGCAGACCAATTTCAGAGAGATCCATACACTTGAACACAAGTTATTGTCTGGAAACTAGAAAAATGCTTATTTTTGGCCCCTTTTTGGCTCATAATTCCTAAACATTTTGGGCAATTACCCCCAAACTCAATTCCAGCTTTCCCTTTGTGATATGGAACCTTGTAGTACAATTTCAGAAAGATCCATACACTTACACACAAGTTATTGTCATGAAACTAGAAAAATGCTTGTTTTTTGCCCCTAATTCCTAAAATTTGGAGGCAATTACCCCCAAAATCAATTCCAGCATTCCCTTTGTGATATGGAACCTTGTGGTACAATGTCAGAGAGATCCATACACTAACACACAAGTTATGTCTGGAAGTTACAAAAATGCTTATTTTTGGCCCCTAATTCCTTAACTGTTGGTACCATAACCCCCAAAATCAATCCCAACCTTCCTTTTGTGGTATTGAACCTTATGGTAAAATTTCATAGAGATCCATTCACTTAAACTAAAGTTAGAGTGTGAAAACTAATGTGTCTTTGGACGACGACGAAGACGACGCCAACGTCATACCAATATACGACCACAAAATTTTTTGCGGTCGTATAAAAATCAAATCAGCAATGTGCTTACCATCAACCAGATGAGTCTGAAAAATCATCTTGCTGCTAAATTCTTACAAATGACGAAAACACCTGAAAAGAGCTTTCTCTGCACTGATATCAACACGACTGAAGCATGGTCATACTTTACCTTATATATTTGACAATATAGTAAAACTAACTTTCAGACATGGCTGACATAGCAGCACTCCTTTTCTCATCAGCTGAATCTATCTTTCTCTACACTGATATGTATCAACATGATTGAAGTATGGTCATACTTACCTGTAGTTACTTGACAATATAGTGATACTAACCTTCAGACATGGCTGACATAGCAGCACTCCTTTTCTCGTCAGCTGAATCTAACATTTCTTCCGTGACTTCCACACTGGCATCAGCATACTCAGGTAATTCCTCATCATCATCAGTAATTACACCTGTCTCATCCAATTCTAAAGATGCAAATTTTAAACAGTGTATTTTCTAATATTTCTTTTTAAATCTTTACATAACAACAGCAATATGCTGTAAACCAACTTATTTTCATAGATACTTTATTTCGCATTTAGCCTGTTCTAACAAACTGGTGGCGATTAAGTTTCACCATTTTCATATTTCCTTGATGTTTTCATCTAAGGGGAGATCCAAGTTTAAACGAAAATAAAACGATCAAGAAAATTAGTTGATTTCAGTGTACAATTTTCAGTTTGATTGTTAAAATTTCCTTGATGTAATTTCTATCCCAGGGATTTTATTTTCAAGATGTGTGTGTACTAACCTTCTCTCTATTTGTCAACATTGCATTTGATTAAAGTTATTTGTTATACATATGAATTATTTGTCACTAGATGCTAAGCAAACAACAACCAACCAATTCCTAAAACTAATTTTGATTTTAAGTAATTTTCTCAACAACTTTATCTCTCTGTTTAGTAAAAGACATTTATCAAATCCTGATGTTACCTCAGTGTCCTGAAAAAAAGATAGGTGTGTTTTGTTGTTCTTTCATGCAAAAAATATTTCTTATCAGCATACATCAGGTACATGTATACTATAGCTATTATAGCTGAAACCCTTATACATAAGAAGAGATTACTCACTGAAACACAAAATATTTTCCTCTGTTTTTCTGCCTGCTTTTTCCAAAACATGAAATTATTCCCTCAGCTTCATGTCTAGAAAAGTGTTTAGGAAACGAGGAATTTACTTTTTTCATTAACACAGTAGCACTTGTAAAAAAAATAATTTTAATTTAAGAATGTCTTACAATCAATTTTAGTCAGAGAATTTTTGTGAAAAGAGCTACAAGGGTTTAATTGTAAACTATTATCTACCTAAATCACTTTCTTCACTTTCTGGTTCTGGTTCTGGCTCTGGTACAGGTTCAGGCTAATAAGAAAATAGACCAATAATAACACTTCATCAAGTATCTCAATAAAAGTTAATAAGCAGTATCATTAAGTTACTACAACATATTTATAAATGACCATGTAAAATTAAGCAGTATCATTAAATTACTACAACATATTCATAAATGACCATGTAAAATTATGCATTTCACTTCAGACAATAAAATGAATGAGATGTGGGATAAACATCAATGAGACAGCAACCAATCTACAAAAAAAAACACATGACAACATACAGTCTTCAACAATAGACAAAATTCTTTTATTTATATTGCTGACATCTACAGAATACATGATTTTTATTCAGTCTAAATGCTGTAGTGTGAAATTTTCTTTTTTCTCCACGTATTGTCTCTGTACTCTGCATACCTGTCAACCTATGAAAATAATAATGCAGGTGATGACCTGCATTGAAGAATAAAATCTCAGGTCATAGCGCGTACGAACTTTTTTCCAGCTGAATTTAAGTATTTAGGGGACTTTTTTTGTATATTTGTTTTTAAATTTTAAAACAAAAGTTTCCAAAACATGTTCCAATGGTTAAGTATTAATCAGAAAATAATTTAAAACTATTATTAATGCAATGCAGTTATGATTTTGATAGATTGGTGAAGAAGTAATTTTAACTAGAGGCTCTCAAGAGCCTGTGTCGCTCACCTGATTCTACTTTGGTTTTGGAAATCATGTAAAAATAGATTAAAATCATAACAGATACCCTAATAATGAGTGAGGCCAAATTTGGTTTAATATTGGTCCTGTAATTTAATAAAAAATCCTGGTGGCCATCTTGAACAGTAAATCAGCAACAAAGTAGCAACACTTAATCAGCACCTCATAAGAAACATTTATGCCATGTTTTGGTTTCATTCCATTCAGTGCACCTCTAGAAGAAGCATTTGTATGTATTTCCCATAGGGTCTTATGTTAAAGGAAGTCCCCCCATTGGCGGCCATCATGGATGAAGGATCAGCTTCAAAGTAACAAAACTTAGTCAGCACCTCATAAGGAACATTCATGCCATGTTTGGTTCAATCCATTCAGTATGTGGTTCTCTAAAAGAAGACATTTGTATGTATTGTCCATAGGGTCCTTTGTTAAACATTGTCCCCATCTGGCAGCCATCATAGATGAAGGATCAGCTTCAAAGTAACAACACTTGGTCAGCACCTCAAAAGGAACATGCATGCCATGTTTGGTTTCATTCCATTCAATGGTTCTCTAAAAGAAAACATTTGTACGTATTTCTCATAGGGTCCTATGTTAAACTAAGTCCTCCGCTGGCGGCCATCTTAGATTATGGATCGGCTTCATAGTAACAACACTTGGTCAACACCTCATAAGGAACATTCATGCCATGTTTGGTTTCATTGCATTCAGTGGTTCTCTAAAAGAAAACATTTGTATGTATTTCCCATAGGATCCTATGTTAAACTAAGTGCCCCGCTGGCTGCCATCTTGGATGATGGATCGGCTTCAAAGTAACATCACTTGGTTAGCACCTCATAAGGAACATTCTTGCCATGTTTGGTTTCATTCCATTCAGTGGTTCTCTAAAAGAAGACGTTTGTATGTATTTCCCATAGGGTCCCATGTTAAACTAAGTCCCCCGCTGGCGGCCATCTTGAATTATGGATCGACTTCAAAGTAACAACACTCGGTCAGCACCTCATAAGGAACATTCATGCCATGTTTGGTTTCATTGCATTCAGTGGTTCTATAAAAGAAAACATTTGAATGTATTTCCCATAGGATCCTATGTTAAACTAAGTCCCCTGCTGGCTGCCATCTTGGATGATGGATTGGCTTCAAAGTAACAACACTCGGTCAGCACCTCATAAGGAACATTCATGCCATGTTTTGTTTCATTGCATTCAGTGGTTCTCTAAAAGAAGACGTTTGTATGTATTTCCCATATGGTCCCATGTTAAACTAAGTCCCCCGCTGGCGGCCATCTTGGATTATGGATTGGCTTCAAAGTAACAACACTTGGTCAGCACCTCATAAGGAACATTCTTGCCATGTTTGGTTTCATTCCATTCAGTGGTTCTCTAAAAGAAGACATTTGTATGTATTTCTCATAGGGTCCTATGTTAAACTAAGTCCCTCACTGGCGGCCATTTTGGATGATGGAACGGCTACAAAGTAACAACACTTGGTCAGCACCTTGTAAGGAACATTCATGCTATGTTTTGTTACATTCCATTCAGTGGTTCTCTAAAAGAAGTCATTTGTATGCATTTCCCATAGGGTCCTATGTTAAACTAAGTCCCCCGCTGGCGGCCATCTTGGATGATGGATCGGCTACAAAGTAACAACACTTGGTCAGCACCTCCTAATGAACATTCATGCTATGTTTTGTTTCATTCCATTCAGTGGTTCTCTAAAAGAAGTCATTTGTATGCATTTCCCATAGGGTCCTATGTTAAACTAAGTCCCTCGCTGGCGGCCATTTTGGATGATGGAACGGCTACAAAGTAACAACACTTGGTCAGCACCTTGTAAGGAACATTCATGCTATGTTTTGTTTCATTCCATTCAGTGGTTCTCTAAAAGAAGTCATTTGTATGCATTTCCCATAGGGTCCTATGTTAAACTAAGTCCCCCGCTGGCGGCCATCTTGGATGATGGATCGGCTACAAAGTAACAACACTTGGTCAGCACCCCCTAATGAACATGCATGCTATGTTTTGTTTCATCCCATTCAGTGGTTCTCTAAAAGAAGACATTTGTATGCATTTCCCATAGGGTCCTATGTTAAACTAAGCCCCTCGCTGGCGGCCATTTTGGATGATGGAACGGCTACAAAGTAACAACACTTGGTCAGCACCTCATAAGGAACATTCATGCTATGTTTTGTTTCATTCCATTCAGTGGTTCTCTAAAAGAAGTCATTTGTATGCATTTCCCATAGGGTCCTATGTTAAACTAAGTCCCCCGCTGGCGGCCATCTTGAATGGTGGATCGGCTACAAAGTAACAACACTTGGTCAGCAACTCCTAATGAACATTCATGCTATGTTTTGTTTCATTCCATTCAGTGGTTCTCTAAAAGAAGATATTTGTATGCATTTCCCATAGGGTCCTATGTTAAACTAAGTCCCCCGCTGGCGGCCATCTTGGATTATGGATCGGCTTCAAAGTAACAACACTCGGTCAGCACCTCATAAGAAACATTCATGCCATGTTTGGTTTCATTCCATTTAGTGGTTCTCTAAAAGAAGTCATTTGTATGCATTTCCCATAGGGTCCTATGTTAAACTAAGTCCCCCGCTGGCGGCCATCTTGGATGATGGATCGGCTACAAAGTAACAACACTTGGTCAGCACCTCATAAGGAACATTCATGCCATGTTTGGTTTCATTCCATTCCATGGTTCTCTAGAAGAAGTTCAAAATGTAAAAAGTTTACGCCGACGACGGACGACGGACGACGGACGACGGACGACGGACGCCAAGTGATGAGAAAAGCTCACTTGGCCCTTCGGGCCAGGTGAGCTAAAAATTCAAGCCATGTCATATCCCCCCTTTTTTTTTTATCTTTATCAATTCTCCAGTCATAGGACCCTTAACTTTTTTTTTTTTTTTTTTTTTTTTTATATAGGACACTTAACTATATGTGAAGGTTTAATCACACATTCAAACTACTGGAAGTGTTTTACGACCTTGACTGGATATACATCCCTCGCAAGGTCGGCTCGGTGCCCGAAGGCGTTTGGTGAGCGTTTAAATAATTTTGTGCCATCGGTCAGGAACAGGTGGAGGACGCCATTTTGGTAGGCCGCCATCTTGGTTTTGTGAGTTGTTTTGGTTTTTCTTTTGTTGACTATTTTGATGTTTTATCTTCACAACGGCTGCTTTCATGGCCAGATTGGTCAGCTTGGCAGCCCGCTAACCTCGACGATGGGAGCACTTGTAGATTAGTCTCGGACGTAGTATTAACGATGACAGGAAGCATTATCAGGACCAAAGTCGTGAGACAGTGAAATGGTGGTCCATCATCTAACACCTAGGATACAGCCCTCGGACGTCACTCGGCATACCACTCCCCCATCCATAATGGGTTTTGGAGTGTATGTTGACGCCAGAATTAGCCCTACGCGGATTATAGCCTAACGTAGTCTGTACAGCGTTGGATTGGTTTCTGTCATCGAAAGTAGTAAGTCGTTGATCCATCTAACAGTAAACCCTCTTCGAAGATAGCGGGTAAAGGAGAGCTGACCCAGCACGTCCGTTCAGTTGTAGTGACTGAGACATGACTGAATTGTGAATGACATTCAAACTTGACAACAAATGGAAGTTTTTAACGACCTTGACTGGATATACATCCCTCGCATGGTCGGCTCGGTGCCCGAAGGCGTTTGGTGAGCGTTTAAATAATTTTGTGCCATCGGTCAGGAACAGGTGGAGGACGCCATTTTGGTAGGCCGCCATCTTGGTTTTGGTAGTTGTTTTGGTTTTTCTTTTGTTGACTATTTTGATGTTATGTCTTCACAACGGCTGCTTTCAGGGCCAGATTGGTCAGCTTGGCAGCCCGCTAACCTCGATGATGGAGTACTGGTAGATGAGTCTCGGACTAGTATTAACGATGACAGGAAGCATTATCAGGACCAAAGTCGTGAGACAGTGAAATGGTGGTCCATCATCTAACACCTAGGATACAGCCCTCGGACGTCACTCGGCATACCACTCCCCCATCCATAATGGGTTTTGGAGTGTATGTTGACACGGGAATTAGCCCTACGCGGATTATAGCCTAACGTAGTCTGTACAGCGTTGGATTGGTTTCTGTCATCAAAAGTAGTAAGTCGTTGATCCATCTAACAGTATACCCTCATCGAAGATAGCAGGTAAAGGAGAGCTGACCCAGCACGTCCGTTCAGTTGTAATGACTGAGACGTGACTGTTATGATGTGATGATTCAAACTTGTTGATGTTAGAGTATAATAAAAAAAAAAAAAAGGTAATCATTTAAAGGAAGTATAGATGAAAAAAAAAATTTCAACTATTTATTTATAATAGTACTAAGGTACTAAAAATAAAGAAAAGTAATATTCTAATATGTATTTGCATTCAATTTGTTCTAGATTTAATCTTTTTTACAAAAATGAACATAAATTTTAGGAGTATATTTTGAAAGGTGACAAAAAAGGGGAAGTAACTCAAATATTTTTGAGAAACAACTTTGAAATACACAAATTTATTTATGACCTAAAGCTAAAGTAATTGGTGTTAATTAACAGTGTGTTTGACAACAAAGCTGTCATTTGAAACCATGCACTGAAATGGGTCACTTAATTTCAGTTTACACAGCTAGTTGAACTTCTTGTGCAGGAAGAATTACGAATTTGCCGTTATTTCAAAGGAAAATCACTTAAGATTCCGTGTGTAAACGGGTCATTTTCGGAATTCCCGGGTTATTTAACGACCCGGCGGGTGTCCCGGGTGATCCTTCAAATTCAACTTGATCTGTGTTTTGTGGTAAAAAGCATTGTGTATAAGTTTCATAACATTTGGTTGAGGCAACTTAAGTTAGAGAACGGAAACTAAAAATTTTGCATTTTTTTCCATTTATAAAGGGGCATAACTCAAGAATGGTTAAAGTGACCCCACCAAAATTCAAGCTTGATCTTTATTTTGTGGTAATAAGCATTGTGTATATGTTTCATAAAATTTGGTTGAGGCAAATTTAAGTAAGTGAATGGAAACTAAACATTTGGCAATTTTTCCATTTATGAAGGGGCATAACTCTAGAATGGTTAGAGTGATGCTACCAAAATTCAATCTTGATCTGTATTTTGTGGTAATAAGCATTGTGTATAAGTTTCATAACATTTGGTTGAGGCAAACTTAAGTTAGAGAACGGAAACTAAAAATTTTGCAATTTTTCCATTTATAAAGGGGCATAACTCTAGAACGGTTTAAGTGACGACACCAAAATTCGAAAGTGATCTGTGTTTTGAGGTAATAAGCATTGTGTATAAGTTTCATTACATTTGGTTGAGGCAAAAACAAGTTAGAGGACGGAAACAAAATATTTTGCAATTTTTCCATTTATAAAGGGGCATAACTCTAGAACGGTTAAAGTGACGCCTCAAAAATTCAAACTTGATCTGTGTTTTGTGGTAATTAGCATTGTGTATAAGTTTCATAACATTTGGTTGAGGCGAAAGAGAACGGAAACCAATTTTGGGACGTATGGAGGGGGCATAAAAATACTTAAGGATTCCCTACCTACCCTGTTTACTTATCCTAAAGTTTTTATTGGCACTATTTGCGTAGAATTGTGATAAAATTGCAGGGTCTCCATTCATACCATTTACTCAAGTTAAACAAATGAGCAAAATACAATTAAGTTTCTTATCTGCCTATGCCATTTTTCTTAAAACAGAAATCCTTAACACATACATTTTGGTTTGGCCTTATCACTTTACTTTTTTTCTTATTTGCCTTCAGTTTTTCATGAAACTTAAATTACCAGAGCAATCAGTAATGGTATGATTAGAGTGGCTCATGAAATGTGTGCTAGTCTACAAATGCAAAATTTTTCTTCTAAGTGCTTCAACAAAATTGTGGTAAAATACTTCAATATTCCCACCTAAAAGACGTGTGGGAAAAAAAAAAAGCAATTTATCCTCATAACAGAGAAATTCAAAGATCATTAAAAAATAAATGGAGAATGTGTCCATCGGACACAGATGATGCACCCACTTGCATATAACGTTATAAAGGGACATAACTCCAGAACTGTAAAAGTGATGCCACCCAAATTCGAACTTAATCTGAGTTTTTGTGGTAATAAGCATTTTGTATGAGTTTCAAAACATTTGGTTGATGCAAACTTAAGTTAGAAATGGAAATGAAAAATTCAGCAATTTTTCCATTTGGAAAGGGGCACAACTCTAGAACGGTAAAAGTGACACCACCCAAAATCAAACCTGATCTGTGTTTTGTGGTATTAAGTATTTTGTATAAGTTTCATAACATTTGGTTGAGGCAAACTAAAGATAGAGAACAGAAACCAATTTCGGAAGGTACGTATATGTACATATTAACAGATGGACCTACAGACGGACAAGGGTACCAATGAGTGCCTCCTCCGCTGTGGCGTGGGCATAAAAATCCTCACTCAACAGCAACTTATGTTTACTATCTGAAATACCTCAGGTTCCTTTGCTGGTTCTGGTTTTGGCTCCCCCTTTGTGGGTTCTGGTTTACTTGGAGGGGGTAAATTTGCCCCTAAACTGAAAATATAAAAATAACCATGTAAGATTATAAGGTCTCTGAAGTCATTTATTTTGATACATAAATTATAATGTTATACAAACTGGCCATAGTTTAAAAAAAAATTCATGTAAACTAATTCTTAAATCTTTTGAAATACATACTTTGAAACAGTATTTATTTTATCAACTATGGATCATCAGGATGATCAAACTAACAAAGTTTTTTTCTTCATCTGAAATCAGACAGCTGAGAAAACTTTTATTGATGGTACCTGTTTTGGTACTATCTTAGCTATTCTTTTTTTAACCTGTTATTTTCTTTTATATTTATCCCAGTTTATTTGCCAAATACTGTAAGCATCATGCCAGACAGTAGCTGTTACATATACATCCATGAATTTTCAACCACAGGAGGGCCGAGTACACAGTTATCGTCCTTTGATTTTCGTTGTCCACAAATATAGTCCCTAGTGTGGACAGTGTGTTACTTGCCATTTTTTTTTATACCCCTTCAAAATTTATTTCTCCATGTTTTATGCCTCAAATAGCAAGTAGGGGGATGAAATTACACTGTAAAAAAATTTGGGTCATGAATTTTAAAGTAAAGTAGTGATTTGGTCGAGCTGAAAAAGGTTAAAAATAAGCACTTCGGAAGCTGTCTAAAGATTTCAAGACCCCCTTAACATAAAATTGTCCATATTTTGAGTTAGAGCCGATGAAGTTTTCTATAATTTTGATATAATTTGTCCCAAAAGTAGTACAACACACTGTAAAAATATTATTGAGAAAGCGCAGGTGGGATTTTTTTAATTTTCATTTATTGTCTAAAAGAAATGCACTACGAAATACCTGTGTACTCGGACCAGGAAAACTCACTATGGTTAGTATTGGAAAAAGTTCATAAGGGGTTCCGTGGAACCCTGTGTCTCGACTGCGATTGCTGCTGTCAGTGTAAAAGTGTTATGTTTACTTAAAAAGTAAGACCATTTATCAGTAAAATAAAGAATTAAAAAAAAAATATCAAACTTTTTCTTTAGATGCTCTTTCATTGTCTTGAAGGTTTACAAATTAATCATGTCAAAAAAGATTAATCCCAGACTGTCCCTAAATGTTACTGTAAAATACTAAGCCCATCTATCAGAAAAATACTAAAAATGAAAAAAATATATTTTCAAAGCATTGTTTCAGACATTATCTCTAAATCATTAAAAAGCTTTTGCCAAAGTTTCATACAACTCTATGAAGGTTTGACAAAGTAATTGATGTGAAACAAACTTTAACCTCAGACTAAATCAGAATGTTAACTGTAAAATAAAACTAAGTTCATTTATCAGTAAAATACGGAATAAAATGCTATGCCGATCACAGCCTGATACGACCGCAGAGGTCAAACCCTGAGCAGTTGGGGCAAGTTTGGACACAATATTCAAGCTTGATACTGTCTGAATTTGGATTGTGATCAAGTTTTTGACATAATATAGGTTTCTGACACAAAATAAGATCTTAAAAATTTGAAATGGGACATTTAATTTACCTAGAATGGTCTGATATCTAAAATTTAACAACATGGTTAGATTCAGCATATAAAAAAAAACAAAGAATTTTATTTTAGTTGAAATCAAACAGTTTGTAAGGGAGGTAACTCTACTGCAAAAAAAAAACCCAAACACAAAAAGTACCAACATAAAGAAACAAAGCTAAAGTAATTGTCCATTAACCAGGAAACCCTTGTTTTCCCCCCTTTTTTGCCCCTAATTCCTAAACAGACTGAGCCATAACCCCCCAAAGCCAATCCTAACCATCCCTTTGTGGTGTGGAAACTTGTGGTACAATTTCAGACAATTCCATACACTGTTCCACAAGTTATTGTCTGGAAACTAGGATAAACTGCTTCGCTGAGCGCAGCTGGATACGCCCGCAGAGGTCCAACCCTGAACAGTTGGGGCAAAAATGGACATAATATTCAAGCTTGATACAGGTCTGATTTTGGATTGTATTAAATATTTGACATATTATAGGTTTCTAAATAAATGTAGTCAAAGAAATTGGTTATATGAATTGAATTTATACTCAATTAAAGATTTCTTGCTGTAATGCAATACACTGTGCTGTTGCACAATACTTAGTAAATCTGTTGTCAGACTATAAACAAATAAAGTTCAATTAATTCTCAATGCCATATTAGAAATTTATGAAAATGTAAAGGGAGCTTACATCAATATAATCATTTCATCAAAGTTTCATGAGAATTGCTGACAGCATTTTTGAGTTATTGTCCGAAAACTGGAAAATCCCCCCTTTTTAATGAATAAAACCCCATAACTCAGAAATGTAAAATGTAAAATTTATAAAATTCTAAACGGAGCTTACATCAGGGTAGGAAACTCACTGGAAAAGTCTACCAGACCACAGGGCTGGCTGCATAAAAAAAATTACCTGTCCTGATCAAAATTTACCAGCCGGGAGCCCTGAAAATTAATGCAATAAAAATCCAACCCATTTTCCTTCAAGATTCTAAATTATGTTTTTGTGTTTTGAGATATTTTATTTTTTTCTGTTGAGTCAACAACAGTTCGCTTTTTCGGCAACGAAAGGCCCAAGTACTGTTGTAAAGACATGAGTTTACCAAAACAAATTTGTACTTTGGATTTCCTCTAATATATATTTTTTATTTAATAAACGCGATCGCGATTGGACGATTCGATACCAACTAGCCAATAAGTGCGGATCTTACAAACAACAGGTATCACCATGTTCCCTGCAGAAATCGCGTGGAAACAGGCGGTAGTAAAAGGTTAATTGGCAGTCATGATTCTTACGTGCTGTTATGAATGGGGTAATACTGAGAACTCATTCCAAAAATAGAAGTAAAGGTAATCCCAACCACCTGCAAAAAATAGACCGTCTACTGGACTGTTGAAATTTAATTTTTGACCGCCCGATCGTAAAATAGGCCATCTTGGGTGGTCAGGCCGGCTATAATTTCCAACTTTGCTTACATCAATAGATATAAACAATTCACCAAAGTTTCATACAAACTGCTGAAAGCATTTATGATTTTTTGTCCGAAAACTGGAAAATCCCCCCTTTTTTATGAATAAAACCCTGTAACTCGGAAATGTAAAATCTAAAATATATAAAAATCGAAAGGGAGGTCATGTCAATAGATATAAACAATTCACCACAATTTTTTGCAAGTTGGTGAAAGAACTCTTGAGTTATTGTCCGAAAACTGGAAATTCCCCTTTTTTTAATGAATAAAACCCCATAACTTGGAAACGTAAAATCTAAAATTTATAAAAAACAAAAGGGAGCTCACGTCAATAGATATAAACAATTCACCAAAGTTTTATGCAAATTGGTTAAAGCTTTTTTGAGTTAATGTCCGACATGTTGACGACAGACGGACAGACTGACGGACGGACAGAGGTATACCATAATACGTCCCGTAAAATGCTTATTTGGGCCCCTTTTTGACCCCCTTATTCCTAAACCGTAGGGACCCTAACCCCCAAAATCAATCCCAACCTTCCTTTTGTGGTTTCAAACCTTGTGTATAAATTTCATAGATTTACATTTACTTATACTAAAGTTATTGTCAAATTTCCAAAGGAGTTTGCAACCATAATAACCCATTTAAATACATCATAAAAGTCTTAGAATAGAAAATGACATACATAATCATGGCTAAAATTAAATTATCTTGCATTTTTAAAATAGTAACTTCTAAAAATAAATTGACAGCTAATCACCTCAAGACGATACAACATTTTTTTTAATACATAATTTAAAAGCAGTGTAAGGGAGGTCATTCAAACACATTGTCAATGTTGTGTTTGAATTACCTCCCTTACACTGCTTTTAAATTATGTTTTGTACTTAAGTAATTGTCCATTAACCTGGAAACCCTTGTTTTCCCCCTTTTTTGCCCCTAATTCTTAAATGGTTTGAGCCATAAACCCCCAAAGCCAATTCTTACCATCCCTTTGTGGTATGGAAACTTGTGGTATAATTTCAGACAATTCCATACACTGATCAACAAGTCATTGTCTGGAAACTAGAAAAATGCTTATTTAGGCCCCTTTTTCCTTAACTGTTGGGACCATAACCCCCAAAATCAGTCCCAACCTTCCTTTTGTGGTCATAAACCTTGTGTTGAAATTTCATAGATTTATATTTACTTATACTAAAGTTATTGTACGGAAACCAAATGTCTTTGGACAACGACGGGATACCAATATACGACCGCAAATTTTTGCGGTCGTATAAAAATCAATTTACCTAACTAGCCATTCCTTGAAAAAGCTCAACTCTGGCAAGTGTATAGTATCTGGGTCCCTCTTCAAATTTTTAACAAATTCTTTCAGAAGTTCTAGTTGCATCTGATCCATGATGCTGGATTAATATTTTACTCACAAAATCTGAAAAAAAATTCCTAAAATAAATTAAACATGAACCATTGGGTGTGGATTAAAGGTTTTCTTTTGATTACAATTTTCCAACTTCAAAATTGCATGATTAATTCTTATGATTTTTTTCTTGGTTGATTCAGTCCCTAGACATAAGAAAATAATTTGTAATGTTTATCATTTTTTTACATTGCCTGCAAGATAACAATGATAAGACTACCGGTGTTTTTAGGTAAAATAGTTGTATATTGACTGTGAAATTGCTGTAATAGGTTAGGTGGTGTTACATCTTACAAAGTCTATCCAAATTTATTATTTTTGCAAAGAATTCTCCTCAAGCCGGTGCTAGGGGCCGTCTTAAACTTGCAGTGAGGTTAGAGTTTTTTTGCTCCGTGTTGAAGGCCTCACTGTGACTTTAAGATGAAGAACAGCAATAAAAGCGCTGTTCCTTTGCTTTTTGTGTGTTTTTTGCTGTGCATGTACTGATTTTGTGTCATGGATGGATAACCCATATCCTTTGTTTTTCTATAAAATAGGGTACAAATATTATACATTTATTTCCCGTGCCTGAGGGAGATATGAAGATTTGTTCACCCAAGAAAATTCATATTTCCCCGAGGGCCTCGCCCGAGGGAAATATGACTTTTCGAGGGTGAACAAATCTTCATATCTCCCTAAGCCAAGGGAAATGAATGTTTTATTCCACTGCCATTACTTTGTTTACTCTAAGTAAATGAACATAAAACATTAATTTACATACATTTTTATTAACCGCTTGTTTTCATAACTAAACACGACATAATTTAAAACATTGATAAACAGTACTGATCAAATGATAATTATCTATTATTTATGTTTGTATTTTACGTCTGAAATAATTTAAACACGATAGTGACTTCAGTGGCGGATCCAGAGGGGGGAGGGGGTTCCGGGGGTTGGAACCCCCCTTTTTCTTGACGATCAATGCATTTGAATGGGGACATATAGTTGGAACCCCCCTTTATCCTGGGTTAGGAACCCCCTCCCTTTTATAAATGGCTGGATCCGCCCCTGGACTTTACTATCGCAATTTAAAAACGTTACTTACATAAACCGCGCGTAACGTCGCACAGGTAAGTCCCGATGTTCAGAGTGGAATATGATACTCAGAGGGGAATATGAAGTTTTGTTCAGTGTCACGTGGAATGGTCTCAACCAATCAAACATTGATTAAGCTATCAAATTTAACATACAGTGGAATATTTGTTGTCTGCTTCAGATTGATAAACTAGCTTTATATAAGGATTGATTGATTGGTGTTTAACACCACTTTAAGCACTATAGTGCTATTTCGTGGCAGTCAGTTTTTACTGGTGGAGGAAGCTGGAGTGCCTGGAGAAAACAACGACCTTAGGTGGGAAAAATTACAATCCTGCTTTGTGTGGGATTCGAACTCACAACCTGAGTGTTGGCAGGCTAGTGATACAGTAGTTCAACTACTTAGACCACTCCGCCACTGAGGCCCCTCTTTATAGGATCATTTGTATATACACCTTATCGCTATTTAGTCCAATCCAGGAAAAAACAGTTACTTAGACAATTTCATGTTTGGGTCAAGTGCAAATACAAAGGTCATCAGCATTGAGCTGAGGGAGGAAAAAGTTCAGAAAATGAACATTTTGAAAGTTTGATAGCTTATGATCCAATTTTTAGAAACACAAACTAAAGTTATAAAAATGATTTGTTTGAAGTGTTTACGATGGTTTAAAGGGGCATTAACTTCGAGATATAAAAAATAAATTTGGATAGTGTCCACATGTGGACACAGATGATGCCCCCGCTTGCATATCATATAGTTATAAAGGGACATAACTGAAGAAGGGTAAAAGTGACGCTACCCAAATTTGAACTTGATCTGAGTTTTGTGGTAATAAGTATTGTGTGTAAGTCTCATAACATTTGGTTGAGGCTAACTAAAGTAGAGAACAGAAACTAATAAAATGCTTCGCTGGGCGCAGCTTGATACGACCGCAGAGGTCGAACCCTGAACAGTTGGGGCAAGTATGGACACAACATTCAAGCTTGATACAGCTCTGAATTTGGATTGTGATTAAATATTTGACACAGCATAGGTTTCTGACACAGAAAGAATGTGGTCTAAGAACTTGAATTTTTTTAATTTACCTATTATGGTCCAATGTCCAGAATCAAAATACATGGTTAGATTCAGCATATCAAAGAACCCCATATATTCAATTTTTGTTGAAATCAAACAAAGTTTAATTTTGGACCCCAACTTGGACAAACTTGAAAACTGGGCCTATAATAAAAAATCTAAACACATGTTTAGATTCAGCATATCAAAGAACCCCAAGAATTCAATTTTTGTTAAAATCAAACTAAGTTTAATTTTGGACCCTTTGGACCTTAATGTAGACCAATTTAAAAAACAGGACCCAAAATTAAAAATCTAAATACACAGTTAGATTTGGAATATCAAAGAACCCCCTAATTCAATTTTTGATGAAATAAAACAAAGATTAATTTTGGACCCTTTTGACCTCAATATGAACCAATTTGATAGCGGGGCCCACAAATAAAAAATCTAAATACATGGTTAGATTCAGCATATCAAAGAACCCAATATATTCAATTTTTGTTGAAATCAAACAAAGTTTAAATACTGGACCCTATCTTGGAACAACTTGAAAACTGGGCCCATAATCAAAAATCTAAACACATGTTTAGATTCAGCATATCAAAGAACCCCAAGAATTCAATTTTTGTTAAAATCAAACTAAGTTTAATTTTGGACCCTTTGGACCTTAATGTAGACCAATTTAAAAAACAGGACCCAAAATTAAAAATCTAAATACACGGTAAGATTTGGAATATCAAAGAACCCAATATATTCAATTTTTGTTGAAATCAAACAAAGTTTAATTTTGGACCCCAATTTGGACCAACTTGAAAACTGGGCCAAAAATCAAAAATCTAAATACATGTTTAGATTCAGCATATCAAAGAACCCCATATATTCAATTTTTGTTAAAATCAAACAAATTTTAATTTTGGACCCTTTTGACCTCAATATGAACCAATTTGATAGCGGGGGTCCACAAATAAAAAATCTAAATACATGGTTAGATTCAGCATATCAAAGAACCCCATATATTCAATTTTTGTTGAAATCAAACAAAGTTTAATTTTGGACCCCAATTTGGACCAATTTGAAAACTGGATCCAAAATTAAAAATCTAAATACATCGTTAGATTCGGCATAACAAATAAATAAATGTGGTCAAAGATTTTACAAATCTAATGCGCCATACTGTGCAATTAAAGATTACTTCTTGAAATTTTTCAATATTTGAAATTTGAAAAAAAAATAATATTTGAAGAATAATTCTTTTTAATTTCTGAAATCTGAAATGAGAAAAAATTGACCCCCCACAATTTCTTTTTACCCCCCCCCCCCCCCCATTTTTTCCCCCAAACCATAATTACCCATTTAAATTTACCATAGTGCTAACTTAATCTATTTTATAACAGAATTTAAAATATAGTGTCAAATCTTTCATATGGATTTTTTTGTAAAAAAAAAAGATGCAACATTTGCAGATATTTTTACTGGTCTTCCTTTATAAATATGCATTTCTTTAAACATAATTTAAAAGCAGTGTAAGGGAAGTAACCAAAACGTTGTATTTGGATTATCTCCCTTACACTGTTTTAAATTATCTTAATTGTTCATTAACCATTACTTTATACATAATTTAAAAGCAGTGTAAGGGAGATAATTTCAATGATGTATTTGATTTATCTCCCTTACACTGCTTTAAATTATGTTTTGTACTAAAGTATTTGTCCATTTACCAGGACAACCTTGTTTTTCCCCATTTTTTGCCCCTAATTCTTAAACGGTTTGAGCCATAACCCCTCAAAGCAAATCCTAACCATCCCTTTGTCGTATGGAAACTTGTAGTATAATTTCAGAGAGATCCATACACCGTTCCACAGTTATTGTCTGGAAACTAGAAAATGCTTATTTTTGGCCCCTTTTTGGCCCCTTATTCCTTAACTGTTGGTACCATAACCCTCAAAATCAATCCCCACCTTCCTTTTGTTGTATTGAACCTTATGGTAAAATTTCATAGAGATCCATTCACTTAAACTAAAGTTAGAGTGCGAAAACTAATGCGTATTCGGACGACGACGACGCCAACGTCATACCAATATACGACCTCAAAAATTTTTTTGCGGTCGTATAAAAATGCTTGTTTTTTGCCCCCTAATTCCTAAAATTTGGAGGCAATTACCCCCAAAATCAATCCCAGCATTCAAACCCTCAATCAGCATCATTTAACAGTAATATCTAAAAATGGAAATTACATAATAAAGGTATTAAAATAGAAAATGACATCATAGTCATGGCTAAAAATAAACAAAATCCTTAATCAGCAACATTTTACAGTAATATCTAAAAATAAAATTCCTTTGTAACCATAAAAGCCCATTTAAATACATCATGACAGATATTAAAATAGAAAATGACATCATAGTCATGGCTAAACATAGCAAAAACCTTAATCAGCATCATTTAACAGTAATATCTAAAAATAAAAATTTCTTTGCAACCATAAAAGTAAAATAGAAAATGACATCATAATCATAGCTAAAAATAAACAAAAATTTTTTTTATTACCAAATTTTAAATGGAGTTTATTAAACTAAAACAATAAATTTGCAACCATAAAACCCCATTTAAACACATCATAAAAGTATTAAATAATTCAACTACATCATAAGGCTATAAAAATAGAAAATGACTTCATAGTCAAGGCTAAAGGTAAACAAAAAACCTTCATCAGCAAAATTTTATATTGGCAAATTTCCAATGAAGTTTATTATACTAAAATTGTTGGCAAATTTCCAATGCATTTATTAACAATAAAGTTATTGGCAAATTTCCAATTTACATAATTTAAAAGCAGTGTAAGTGAGATATTTAAATGAGTTTGAATTACCAACCT